TTTTTTATTATTATTATTGTAGAAAGCAGTTATTTCTAATTTTTTTTTAAAATACGTTTGAAAAGTTTATAGATTGTTTAAACATTTTTAAATTTAAATTGAAAATAACTAACTAATACAAAACTAAATTATTTTTAAAACTAAAATTCACAAATTTTATGGTGATGACATGTGTCACTTTTTCCCTCTCCTATTATATATAGATAGATTATTATTATTATTATTATTATAGAAAACAAATATTTCTAATTTAAAAAAAAAGATTATATAGAAAATAATAGATTAAAATTCGGCCTTTATCTAAAATAGAGTTAGTTTTAATTCAAATTTTAAAAGATGAATGTAACTTCCCATTCAAATCCAAAATTCAAAAATTTAATAATATTTAGTTGAATACATTTTTTCCCTATTTAGTTGGATGCCTTTTTATTTTATTTCTAAAATTAAGATTAATGCATTTTTTAAACAACAACTATTGTAACCGTAGATTTTTTTTTTTTTTATTATTATTATTATTATTGTTGTAGAAAGCAGTTATTTCTATTTTTTTTTAAAAATACGTTTGAAAAGTTTATAGATTGTTTAAACATTTTTAAATTTAAATTGAAAATAACTAACTAATACAAAACTAAATTATTTTTAAAACTAAAATTCACAAATTTTATGGTGATGACATGTGTCACTTTTTCCCTCTCCTATTATATATAGATAGATTTGTAAAACAAACTTTGCAAATAATATGTATATCTACGCTTGCTCCATCTTTATGATTACCAAAATGTTATTTAAAAAATGTAATGTACTATACAATAATTTATTTATTTTTAGGAAAAGGTCTTAAATATGTCATCGAACTTTGAGAAAAAGTTTATCTATTCCATCCGTTAAAAATTTGGCTCATCTATGTCATTTCCGTTTTGAGAAAAGAATCATCCATGCCGTTATTTGTTAACTGAGAACAATTTCGGTTTTACAAAACATTTTTTTACACGTGGTCAATTATGATTCGGCTACATCATTAATTGAATCAATTTTTAAAGGAAAAAAAAAGCTTAAATATGTCATCGAACTTTGAGAAAAGTCTCATCTATGTCATCCATTGAAAGTTTGGATCATCTATGCCGTTTTCGTTAATAAATAATGACATGGATGAACCTTTTCTTAAACTGAAATGACATAAATGATACAAACTTTTAAAAGATAACATAAATAATGCTTTTCTCAAAGTTCGATGATATATTTGAGCTTTTCCCTTCTTTTTATCACATCCTTTTATTTTAGAAATTATATGCGGTAAAGAAATCTTTGGTGGGGGAACCTTTTTTCTTTCAATGTATTCTACGTGGCACGTATCTGAGAAGTCTAGGTAGGAGGCTTCGAAAACCAGATGATTAAACCAAAAAATAAAAAAAATAGTTGAAGTGCTTCCTGGCATACAAAATATGTCTTATTTTGTTTTCATTCGTACCTTTTATCAAGTTGAGAGTTTGCTACTAGCAATATCTTTAATTTTTGTTGACTTCTTATCAAATATAATAATTAATGTGTAGGACATTTTACTTCAACTTTTGCCTAACAATGATAAGTAGACTAAGGTTAATTAACAAATTAGGTCAGCGTATACTTTTCCTTGTCAAAATGGGTATTAAAGTCATCATTGTGTTTTCGAGAGAAATATTAAAAATACCTTTGAATTTGATGCAGATTATTAGTTTCGTAGCTTTAAAAATATATTTTTTATACTTAACTAACTAAATTTAGATACACTCTCAATCTGCAACATGCCATAACAAGTAGTCTCAAACACTTGTAGGAGCATGAAATTCTTAATAAAAAGCCGAGAGAAGTGTTGAAAACACCCTTAAACTTGACGAGAATTCAAGGGTGTATTTCACTCATGTTGTAAGATTGAATGTGTATTCATATAATATTCCTCTATCACAATCCAAAAGCAACAAGTCAAATGATGACACCTACCTTCTCCTCTCATAGATAAGTGCCCAAGCTACTATCCAACAGATTTAAAAATAAAGTAACAAATGTGGAAGTAAGACACTAACAATTAGTTTAAAATCATAGAAATTTTTTAATAGAAATTAAGTATATGAACATAAACATACAATCCTAACACTTAGTGTCATGGAATTCGGTCTCAAAATGGACACTTTTGAACACTATAGACCAAAAGGGAATCTATCTAAAATAAAGACCAAAATGGACACTTTGCTCATTTGTGGCGTTCGTGACAAACAAATTTAACTCCGCCAGTCACCCCAGAACCTACAAAAATATCACACATTTTAAAGGTAGTTTGCCCACAAGTGGGTGAACTATAATTCTTTTTATTAACTTCTCACATGAAGCTATTTCATGTCTCAATTTTAAGTGTATTTTAAAGTCTTTTTGATACATAAAATCATGAGTTTCTTCAATAATAAAAGTATAAAAAGATTGATACTTAATTTTTTTCATAAAATAAATTTTACTATATATCTTCTTACAATCATAGTAAAAAAACTACTGACGTCACTGATACGTTCAAACTCACACTTCAATTAAGTAGTGTAAACGGTCATTGTCAATTTACAGAACTCAACGCGAGTTGAGGTCGATCCCACAGAGAATTTCTTTACAGAAAAGGTTTCACTGTCGCGTTT